ACTGTCCCTCCAGCACTGCCAAGGCCACCACAGACCCCTGTCCCCAAGTGCCACATCCACATGGATTTGAACCGGGCAGCACCTTGTGAGGCACCAAAAACAGCAGCAGCTGTGAGAGCCCAGGGCACAGAGAAATGGAAAAGACATTTTCTGTCTTTTACCTCTCCATCCCACATTTGTGTCCATCCCTCCTCCCAGCCAGGCCTGGCAGGCACCAGTTGGGAGCTGCTCCCAGTGTCTGGCAGCCTGAACCTTCCCTTTGCTTTTACATCTCCCTAAAACATCCAAATTTCACCTGGACTTCAGCCACGACCTCCTGCTCATCAGCCTCAGCCAAGGCCTTCACATCGCTCTTGCTGATGACGTTGCTGAAATCTGGGAGGAGACAGGGAAGGGACAGTGGGGCTCCATGCAGACCCTGTGGAGTCTGATGGAGTCTGATCCCCTCTGGAGCAGGAGAGATCCCACAGAGCCCCTCTAACCCTGCAGCTGTTGGAATCCTGAGCCACCTCCCGGGATGCTCCCAACTCGTTCCCTGCCCATCTCCCCAGCGTCCTGCAGAGCCACAATGACATCTAGAGGCCACTTCACCCAGTTCCTGCCATCCTACCGACTCATTCCTGGCCTGCAGGACTGGAATTCAACCCCAAAGCAGCTGGAGTCATTCCCAAACCCATGGAATATTCAGGATATGTGGGAAACCCCTGCCTGATACAGCTGGCACAGGAAGGTGCACTGAGGTGTGGAGCCTGGCCCATCCACACTGGGATTTCCAGATTTATGGAGCTCCAGGACCTCTCCAGGGCTCTTCATACTCACAGATGAAGTAGACGCTGTACTTGGGCCTTCTCAGCTCCTGCACCAGGAGCTCCACGTTCTCCTGGATGGAAACAGCACCAGGGAGAGCAGAGTTAAGGAATACAGAATCATGGAATCCTTAGGGTTGGAAAAGCGTCTGAGATCTTGGTGTCCAGCCATTCCCCCAACACTGCCAGGGCCACCATGAATCCCTGTCCCCAAGTGCCACATCCACACGGATTTGCTCTTCATCAGCAAACATGGAATCATGGAATTAGTGACTTTGGAAAAGCCCTTTGAGACCACGGAGTCCAACTGTCCCTCCAGCACTGCCAAGGCCACCACAGACCCCTGTCCCCAACTGCCACATCCACACGGATTTCAGCAATTCCAGCGACTGTGGCTCTGCTGAACAACCGTTTCCATGAAGGAATTCTCCTGAATATCAACCCAAACCTCCCCAGCACGATTTGAGGCCGTATCCCCCCGCTCTGCTCCGTACCTTGGTGGGCCTCAGGAAGCAGATGGCCTTGAGGTGCTTCATGGGCTCCCTGTTGGGCGAGTCGAGGCGCTCGAACAGATAAACCTCTCTCTGTAGGATCTCGGACTGGGTGTACACCACGCTCACGGCGCCGGTCTGCGGGCGGCACGGGGGCAGCGCCCGTCACGGCGGCGCTGGGCCCGGCTCCCGGCCCCGCCGCCCTCCGCGCTCCCGGCCCGGCCGCTCCTCACCGTCTCCCGGTCCATCAGCAGCACCTTCATACCGGGGCCGCTGTCCTCGATCATTTTGGACACGTACTGCCGGACGGCCAGCACCGCGTTCATCTTGGCGGGGATGCTCCTCTACCGGGCTGTGCCCCGCACCCGCTTCGGCCCTCTCCGGCCCCGCTTCGGGATTCTCCGGCCTCGCTTCGGCCCTCTCCGGCCCCGCTTCGGCCCTCTCCGGCCCCGCTTCGGCCAGGCTCGGCCTCACTTCGGGACTCTTCGGCCCCGCTTCGGCTCTGCCCCGCCCGGCCCCGCCGGCTGCTGGGAGTTGTAGTCCAGCAGCGGGAGCGGCACCGCCAGCCGCGCTCCCAGGGGTCCCGCAGCCCCCGGCCCGTCCTTCCCCTCCCGAGGGGACCCGAGCAGTGGAAATGGTTCGGGAGGGCGGAGCAGTTTGATACCGAACCCAAGCAGACTCACCTCACACACACTTAAACCCATGTTAAAAGCTATGTTAAAACCCATGCTTTAACCCATGTTAAACCTATGTTAAAACAACACAAACCCGCTTCAACCCGCACTAAACCCACCCTAAAACAAACCAAATCCACCTAAACCCACCCCAAACACTCACAACCCCCCTAGAGGTCTACCCAAACCACCCCGAATCGTGGCAGACCCACCCCAAGCGCCCAGGAGGGCTCGGCACACCGAGGGTCCCCAAGGACAAAGGACGTGACCCGGTTCCACCGAACCGGGGATGGAGAACGCCCCGGGACCAGCCCGGCCCCGTTAATCCCGGAGCAGGACGCTGGGATTAGGAGCTATTCCTGGCGGGACAGAGCTGAGCCGGGCCAGGCACTCCCACGCTGCCAAAGCCCTATTTATAGCAGGGGATAACAATTAATTAATGAGTATGTCCTGCCTTTTGCTTCCAATTAAGTGGCTCCCCAGTTCCTCTCAGAGTGACGGACACTTTTGGCGTCTTTAATCCTTCAATTTCCTGCCGAGATTTTACTTTTCACTTCTAAACTCTTTGAGTCTTCCTTTCTGGAGGCTGGAAATGTACAAACCCCAAAGATTTGAGTGGTTTAGATATGGATTTACCTAGAAAAATACAATTCCAGTATTTTCTTTCTTATATTTTTTATTTCTTGTCAGATTTTGTTTCTCATATCCAAAGTAATGCCTTAAGGAGTGTGTGGGTGCTCCTGGCCAAAGGATACACACAATAACAGCAAATGGTACAAAAAATTGGGATTTAATTGCATCTGATTGATTTCTGGCCTTATTGTTAAATGATTCAGTTTCTGGAAAGTGCTGGTTTAGTTATTGTCCAGTTTCCTTGGGAATGCTTTTGGATTTTATTTGTGAACTAACCAAACCCAGGGTCTCTCTTTAAATCCATCTTTGTCCTTGTCCTTAGAGAAGACAAACCCCTTCTTGTCCCATTTTAATGAAATTAATCACAAACCAAACCTCTGAGGCTTCTTGGTGGGATGTTTATCCCTGGTTTGCAGGTAAAACATTTTAAACAACTTTTATTCTGCTGAAATTTTACACTTTTCATTCCCCACAGGCTGATTGGTGGGGTGGGAGTGATTGGAATAATGGAATTGTTTAGGCTGGAAAAGACCTCTGCATTTGCTGTAATTTTTTATTTAAACCTTATCATTCTTTTAAAACTTAATAATTTTAATAACCTCTTTTGAACCTTAATAATTTTAACCTTCTAATTCTTGAATAAGAATCACTTCAAGTACAATTTCTGTAAATAACCCTGATTTAACCTCCCCAATAACTGCCCTGGGCCTGCCACCAGTGCCCAGGCACGAGGACAGACGTTGGTCCCTAAGTTGAGGCAATAGGATTGTCTGGGATTATGGCACTGCTATTTTAAGGGATTGAATTTGGTGTTGATTATTTCAAAAGGCTTCTCCACTCCTGATTCCAAGGGGGAATGGCCAGGGCAGGCCATGCCATCCCTGTGTGGGGCATTGTCCCTGTCCCCACGGCCTCGTCCTGCGTGTGGCTCCAGAAGGGGCAGCAGCACCAAGGCCTCCCCCGGCTCCTCAGGGGTAAATTCACCACAAAATCCTTTGGCTCAGTCTGGGAATGTTTCTAACTGGAGCTGTCAGCAGTGAGATGGGATTTTATGATTATTTAGAATGGTGCTGATCCCTCGCCATGGCTCCTGCGGGAGCAGGGAGGGGAACAGGATGGAATGGGCAGGGACCATTGTGGAGAACTGGGATCACTGAGGAGAACGGGAACATTCCAGAGCACAGGGATCACTGTGGAGGACAGGGATCACTGAGGAGAACAGGGATCACTGAGGAGAACAGGAACATTCCAGAGCACAGGGATCACTGAGGAGAACAGGGATCACTGAGGAAAACAGGAACATTCCAGAGCACAGGGATCACTGTGGAGCACAGGGATCACTGTGGAGAACTGGGATCACTCTGGAGAACTGGGATCACTCTGGAGAACTGGGATCACTCTGGAGCACAGGGGCACCCCAGCCCCTTCCTGGCCACCAGAGACATGAGGCAGGATCCACTGTGAGGACAAACTGTGCAGCCAGCAGGGACAAACCCCGGGCCTGTCCTTTCTGTGCTGGACATTTCCCTGCCCAGCCACACAAACAATCCCTTTGTGCAGGACACAAACAAGGGCAGGTTCCTGGCAGGACACAAAGAATGGATTCAGAATTGGGATCAGCTGAGCTGGGGGCATGACGTGGCCTGTTTGTCACCAGCCCCTGCAGCCCCCGGCCCCCGCTGGCCACTGCTCCCAAACAGGGCCTGGCCCGCCTGTGGCACAGGGAATGTGACAGGGAATGTGACAGGGAATGTGGGGCCATTGGAGCAGGGAATGCCACAGGGAATGTCATGGGGAATGTCACAGGGAATGTGGGGCCATCTGGGGCTGCTGCCCCACTCTGCACTGCTCCCATGCCACGAGTGAGGAACAGGAACCTCTCCATGCTGGGGAAAGGATTCCCAGTGGGAATCAGGCTCAGGGAGCGGGTGCTGACCCCTCACCTTCCAGGGCTGGCATTTCAGCCCCGCTCTGGGGGTACTGACCCCACGGAAGGGGACACCCCTCAAGGTCTCAGGCCCCAGGGTGGCAGAGATTACCGACCCCTTACATGGGGTCTCAGGCCTCTCCCGGGGGTCTCAGGCCCCTCCCGGGGGTCTCAGGCCGCACACAGCGGGTCTCGGGCCCCTCCCGGTGGTCCCGGTGCCGCCCCGGTGTCCCGCGCCCCCTCGGTGGTCCCGGGGGGATCTCGGTGCCGCTCCCCCCGTCCCGCCGCCAGGGGGCGCTCTGCTCCCCGCAGCTCCCGAGGTGGGCGTGGCCTGGCCCGGCCCTGCGCCGCCATTGGCCCCTGCCGGCACGGCCGCGTGCGCCCGCCAAAGCGTTCCGGGCGGGAACGGGGGTGGCGGCGCGTTCCGGGTGGCGCGTTCCGTTCCGCCTTCCCCCCCCCCGCTCTGTCCCCCCCCCCCGCCCCGGGAGCGGCCTCAGCGGCGGCGGCGGCGACGACGGCGGGAGGGCCCGGGGGCCGCTCCGGGCCGGGCCGCTCCGGGCCACCCATGGAGCCTCTCGGAGGTAACGGCGGGGCCCCCGCTCGGCCTCGGGAAAGTTTTGGCGGGGCCGGGCCTCGGGGCGGCGTCGGCGGCGCCCGCGGGGTCACGGCGCGGCCTGAGGGGGCGGCGGGGGCGGCTCCCGGGGTCGCTGCCGGGGTGCGGCTCCCGGGGCCGGTCCCGGAGGTTGTCCCGGGGTACCGGGGTGGGTGGCGGGGTGCGGGTGCCGGCCGCGGGTCCCTGCTCAGCCCGGGGGCCTGCGGGGCTGCTCCGGGGCCGCCCCCCGGCCGCTCCCAGTGCGGAGCCCCCCGGGCTTCACCCCCGCGGCTCGGGGCTCCTCGGGGAGGGGACATTTTCCTGCCCCTGTCCCGAATAATTTTCCTTTTGGTGGTTGTTTTCTCCCGGGAGCGCCGGGATTTCCGCGCGGCTGCCCGGTCCAGGCTGGGGTCTCCGTTTGGAGCGAAACGCGAGCTCAGAAACAAACCTGGAGTGAGGAGAGGGAGTTCGGGAGTTCCTTTCTCGTCTGGCTGATTCCCGGCCACAGCCCCGGCCCATCCCCAGCTCCAGGGAACCTCACTCCCGGTAGGGGGACGGAGCCTCCCGGGAGTTGCGTTGGATCCCGGTGCACCGGGAATGCTGCGGGGCTTTCCTGCCTGTGAAATGGGTCCTCGGGACCAGGGATCTCCCGGTTCCTACAAGTCACAGAGCTGGAAAGTCCAAACTTCCAGCCAGGATTCTTTGCTCTGAATCATTGACGCTGCTGGGTTTTATCTTCCTGACCTAGCACAGGTCCATGCTGAGTAGTTTGGTTTGGTTTTTTTTTTTTTTTTGAAAAATGGGATTTTTAAGCTACTTAAAGATGGTTTTGTGCTAAAGGAACTTCTGGAGGGGCCACCTGTGGATGCAGTGTTGGATGTGGCTGGATCGAGGCATCTCCTGTGCCTGCTTCAGCTGGGAGAGCCTTGGCAGCCCCTGGTGTGGGCAGGAGCATCCAAATCCCACTGGGATGGAGCCCAGCTGGGGATGGGAAAAGGAGCTGTGTGCCCAAACTGCTTCAAAATTCAGGACTCTGCTCTTCAGTAATGACTGGTTCGGTTTTTTGTTGGAATATGTTTAATTTTCTGCTGGTGTTGGTGGTGAATCTGTGCCACTCCGTGCCAGGATGTGGCTCCGCTCTCTCTGGGAGATGCTCTGGCCCTCAATTGGCACTTCAGCTCTCCCAGTCCCGAGTTCCACCCTCAACTCATCTCTGCAAAGGGCTGAAAATGGATTTTCCTGGCAGGAGCAGCATTGAGTTGAAACATTCTGGGGATAAAATGAGCAGAATTGGTGATGGAGCTGCCGTGGCCTCAATTACAGAGGGGACACTGGAGCATCCCCTGGGATCCAGGCAAGGACAGCGTGTGCCAGGCCCAGCTCAGGCTGGAAATAATCATGGCCTGGTTTAGGGAGAACTTGGCTCAAAGGGAATTTCTTTGGTGCAGACACTGAGGGAGCTGAGTTTGTTGTCAGTGAGAAGAGAACCCTGTCATTAGAGATTAGAGAATCCTGTAATTCTGGGAGCAATTGATAACTAGGAGGATGATGATGATGATGGTGGGACAGGATTTGATGGAGCTGCTGCTGGAGATTTATTGGGCTTTTATCTTGGAGATAAAAAGTGGAAGGTTCTGGTGACTTCATCAGCCCAAGGTTCAGGATGAGCTGGGTGTTGGGAGGAGCCCAGCTGTGTCTGGAGCACTGGGGAACAGCTGGAACTCTGGGAAAAAAACCAAAAAAACAAAGATAAAACTGTTCATTGAAGCACATTTATAAAAATGGGATGATTTCCAGAACTTTCACTCCTGCTCCAGCTCCTGAGCACCAGGGTGGTTTTAGGAGCCCCTTTAGGAGCCCTTTTTCCCTGCTGGAGCAGCTCATTTATGAGGATTATTGTGCTGTCCTTTTGGACTGAGCTAAAACTTCCTCAGAAGTCCCCAGAATGGGGAATCTTGGTGAGCTGTTCCTACCAAGCATGAGGTGCAGCCACAGAGTCACATCCAGCACCTGGAATGGGGAAAATGGGAATAATTCCAAGGAAAATGGGGAAAAAATCCTCAGTCACTGCCTGTGCTGTGTGTTCCTGCTCTTCCCTGTCAGACTGGCCTCATTCTGCACTCCCAGCTCCCCTCCTGGGGGCTGAGGGGCTCCAAGGGTCTCCTGCACCATCAGTTTTATCAGAAATGACTTTTTTTTGTTGATGATGACGACGATGATGATGATGATGATCTGGGTCTATTCCCATCCTGCAAGAAGCAAGCATGGTGTGTGTCCCACCCAGCACTCCAAGGGCGTCCTGCACCTTCAATTTTACCAGGAATTACTGGATTTTTTGTTTTTGATGATGATGATGATGGTGATCTGGGTCTATTCCCATCCTGGAAGAGGCTGCAGGGTGTGTGTCCTATCCAGCATTCCAAAGGTGTCCTGCACCATCAGTTTTCTCAGGAATAACTGGAGTTTTGTTGATGATGGTGATGATGATGATGATGATCTGGGTCTATTCCCATCCTGGAAGAGGCAGGCATGGTGTGTGTCCCACCCAGCATCCCAAAGGTGTCCTGCACCATCAGTTTCATCAGGAATAACTGGATTTTTTTTGGTGATGATGATGATGATGATGATGATGAGCTGGGTCGATTCCCATCCTGGAACAGGCTGCAGGGTGTGTGTCCCACCCAGCACTTGCAGCTGGAGCTTAGTGACACAGCACAGGTGTCAGGTCAGGACGGGTGCTGCTAATCCTGGTGCTGTTAGATAACCCTGCAGGGCCAGGGGTGGGATGGGGGCAGCCCTCACTGTTCTGGGGAGCACGAGGAAGCCAGAAACCTCCTTGGGGAGCATCAGAAACCTCCTTGGGGAGCATCAGAAACATCCTTGGGGAGCATCAGAAACATCCTCGGGGATCATCAGAAACCTCCTTGGGGAGCATCAGGAAACCTTGAGGATCATCAGGAAAGCTCCTTGAGGAGCATCAGGAAACCTTGAGGAGCATCGGGAACCTCCTTGAGGAGCATCAGGGAACCTTGAGGAGCATCAGGAAACCTTGAGGATCATCAGGAAAGCTCCTTGGGGAGCATCAGGAAACCTCCTTGAGGAGCATCAGAAACATCCTTGGGGAGCATCAGGGAACCTTGAGGAGCATCAGAAACATCCTTGGGAGCATCGGGAACATCCTTGGGGAGCATCAGGGAACCTCCTTGAGGAGCATCAGGGAACCTCCTTGAGGAGCATCAGGAAACCTTGAGGAGCATCAGGAAACCTTGAGGAGCATCAGGAACCTCCTTGAGGAGCATCAGGAACCTCCTTGAGGAGCATCAGGAAACCTTGAGAAGCATCAGGAAACCTCCTTGGGGAGCATCAGAAACATCCTTGGGGAGCATCAGGAAACCTTGAGGAGCATCAGGAAACCTCCTTGGGGAGCATCAGGGAACCTCCTTGAGGAGCATCTGGAACCTCCTTGAGGAGCATCAGAAACCTCCTTGAGGAGCATCAGAAACCTCCTTGAGGAGCATCAGGAACCTCCTTGAGGAGCATCAGGAACCTCCTTGAGGAGCATCAGGAACCTCCTTGAGGAGCATCAGGAACCTCCTTGAGGAGCATCAGAAACATCCTTGGGAGCATCAGGGAACCTTGAGGAGCATCAGGAACCTCCTTGGGGAGCATCAGGCCGTGCTCACTCAAAGCTCATTTTTCTCATAGTCTCTGATTGGAGCTGCTCCCATGTCCCACCTGCAGGTCCCCTCAGGACCCCCCTGCTTAGCCCTGAGCGCTTCCAAATTTCAGGATTTTGGAGGATTTGGGGTTTAGGAGTTGGATCTGTGCTGGTTTTCCACCGTTCTGCAGCTCCCTGCTGCTGCTGCGAGTGAAAACATCCGCATGGGTCTGACAGGATTCAATTTCCCATGGATTTGGGCACCTCCTGCCTCACCTGCAGCTCCCTGAGGGTCTGGTTTGGTGTTGCTCATGTCCCTGTGGGGAAGGGATGAGGAGCAGAGCCCTGGGAGTGGAGTTCTGGCTCCCAGCTTGGTTCCTGCCCTCAGCAAAACATCACGTGGCAGAGACGTCAGAGTTTGCTACTCCTAAAATATTTCTGGAAGTGTTTTATAAACACAGTGGAGCCACAGGTCGTGGCTGACCTTGGGTCAGGATTTGGCCCTAACAAAGAGAATTATTTCCTCTTTCTGCAGCATGTTCAGCTTCAGGATTGAAATCTAACAAAAAAAAAAAGGGAATTAAAGCCCCATAAATTCCAGTCTGGAAGTTTAAATAGATCCAGTTTTGCTGCTCCACAGCTGGTTGTGATGAGCTCTTTCAATTCAGTGTTCCCAGTGGTTGATTTCCCACCAGGATGGAGCTCAGAGACATTGAGATCTTGGAGCTTTAGGTTTGAATTCCTCCCTCAGTTTGCTGATTTTCCTGATGGCGTTGGGGCAGGGCTGCAGCCCTGCCTGAGGAGGGCCGGGATGCTCCACCTGCTCCTGGTGAGTTGGTGGAGTTGGAGCTGCCCTGGGAGAGGCTGTAGGCAGCGAGACAGAGGAGGCTCCAAGGGCTTTTCCCCCTTATTTTGGATGGAAATTTGGTGTGAAAGGCCTGAATTCCCTTTAGGAAGGACTTGCAGCCTGCCAGCAAGGACCAAACCCAGCTTTGCCCCATTCCCAAGGGTGGAACTGGGCACATTCCCCTGCCTGCAAGGCTGCAGGTTGCTGTCAGTGTTGGGTGGATGCCCTGGCACTTTGAGGTGAGGTTTTCACTGGCTTCCCATGGCTCTGTGACCATGGAATTCTGTTTGCATGAAGCTCCAGCTCCTCCTGGCCCGGTGAGGTGTGGCTGCAGCACCGCGATCGCTCCTCAGCCCCGTCAGGAGCCTTGCTGTGCTCAGGCCCTGTGCAGCAAGGGGGGGATATTTGTTCAACATTTGTTGAAAAGCCTGCAAGGAGCTGTTGGGATCACTGAGTTTAGTCCTAAATACAGGTTTTCCATGCGTTTCTGGTTGGAATGTGCCAGGAACACTCACTTTGGATCACCCCCATGCACCCCTGGGGGGCTTTGGGGTGTGCTCAGTGCCTGCTCCATTGGGGTGGATTTGTGGATCTCCTGGGGCTGGGGTTTCCTCCCTGGGCTCACATTTCCCACCTGTTCTGGAAGGAGGGAAGAGCAGAGAGCATTTCCCTTCCAATAATCAATAACTCTGGGGTGGGGACATCTCTGTCCAATCCCTCAATAAATCCCCAACAATCCTTCACCACCTCATTGGACCCAGAGTTTTCCATCTGTGTTTTCCCTGGCATTTTTGTGCACGAGGGAGTTTGGAATGCAGTGGAAGAGGGGGTGGGATGTGCTGCTTGCTCCCTCCCCAAAGCTCTGCTGAGTTTTCATTTGCATTGGAATTCCACACCCACCTGAAGGAAGCTTCACCCCTTATCTCATCCTGGAGCTGCTCCTGCAGCTCCTGCCAGGGATTAGAGGATCCAAAAGTGCAGCTCCTAATTAGGGATGTTCCCTAAATTGGTGGAGTAAGAGCAGGAATTGCTGCCAAATCCTGCTCCAGGAATGTGCTGGGCTTTGGCATCACTTCTGGCAGCTTTTCTGGGAGGAGGAATTTAACAACTCCATTGTGGGAAAGGTGTTTCTCCAGCAAAGCCAAGAAATTCCAGGTTAAAGTCTGGATGCTTGGGGGGAGTTGTGCTGGTAGGGAATTTCACCCACCTTTAAGGATAATCTTGGAAAAAAAAATATTTTAAGGTACCAGGTGGGTTTTGCCTGTCTGTAGGGATAATCCTGAGAAAGAGACTTTATTTTTCAAGCACCAAGAAAACAACCAGGTTTGTTCATATTCCACACAATCCTGAAATTTGCTCTTACACCTCATACACCAGCACCTCCCTGTCCCAGCCTTCCCAGTTTTTTCCCCTTCCAGATTTTCAGCTCAGCATAAATTCTCTTCCCATTCTTTGCTGTTCCTTGATGGCAGAATTTGAATCCCAGCCTTTAACAGCTGCAAACCCCGTGGAGCCCTTTGCCCATCTGGACTCCCACGGATGAGGCTGCTCTTCCTTTCCCTCTCTGCCCCAGGAATGCAGAAAATCAGGATTTGAAGGCATGGCAGCAGCACACGCCTTCAGAACCCAACAAAATCCAGATTTACAGGAGAAATCCGTGGTTTTGGGCCCCTCTGGGAAGGGCTCAGGAGTCAGAGGAGCTCTGGAGTGGAAAGGAGCTCTGTCTGGACATTGATTTTGTCTGCCAGAGCAATTGGGGTTATTTAGTTGGGATTTTTGTCTGAAAGGGGCTTTTTAAAATATGTTTTCCTTAGAACACATCTCTTAATTCTAGCATTTCATCCTTCCCTTTCCCTGCCTCACAGCTGGGATGAGGTGGGGATTTACTCCCTGTAAATGCACAAGAGAAACTTTCTGCTTTCTCATTGCTCCCAAAAATTCATTTATTATATGAATATATAATAAATGATAATTATATGTATAATATTATATAATAAATGATATATTACACAACAATGATATATTATGTTATATGATGTTATATTATATTATATGATGTTATATTATATTATATAATATTACATTATATTATATTACATTATATTACATTACATTATATTATATTATATTACATTATATTATATTATATTACATTACATTATATTATATTACATTATATTACATTACATTATATTACATTATATTACATTACATTATATTATATTATATATTACATTCATATTATATATTATACATTATATTATACATATATTACATTCACATTATATATGAATGTGTAATAAATTATATTTATTATATCATTTACCCCTAATTTGGAAAGAAAAGCTCCACCACCTTTGACAGATGAAAACTGAGTTTAGCTCATGAGTTTTCCAAGGCAATGCTCATTGCTGGTTACAGCAGAGTGTGGTGCTCCCAAGGAATGAACCTGGAGCACATTGAATTTGTGGGGGCAGGTTCATTCACCCCTCAGCTGGTTCCCAGCTGGGCAGGTGCAGCCCAGGGGTGCTCTTGGTGCTCTCCATCCCCAGGTTGATGCCCAGGAGCCGCTCGGGTGCCGCCGACTCCTCCGGCCTTGGCTATGGACATCGTCCTGTCCGACTTTGTTCGCTCAACGGGGGCAGAGCCAGGGCTGGCCAGGGACCTCCTTGAAGGTATGGAAAACTGGGAATCATCCTGGAAATGCCCAAGCTGGGAGGGAAAAGGTGAGGGAGGTGGAGGCTGGAATGGTTTCCAGCGTAGGTGATTAGGGAGTGCCTCTGTTTCTGTGGTGGGTGAGGTGTAAGTGCTGTTGTTCTACCTGGAATGGGGGAAATGGGAATAATTCCGGTAAAAATGGGGAAAATGGGGAAAATTCCTCAGCTTCCACCACCTGGAATGGAGGAAAATGGGAATAATTCCAGGAAAAATGGGAAAAATGGGGAAAATTCCTCAGCTTCCACCACCTGGAATGGAGGAAAATGGGAATAATTCCGGGAAAAATAGGAAAAAATGGGGAAAATTCCTCAGCTTCCACCACCTGGAATGGGGGAAAATGGGGAAAAATAAGAAAAATGAGGAAAAATGGGGAAAATTTCTCAGCTTCCACCACCTGGAACGGGGAAAAATGGGAATAATTCTGGGGAAAATGGGAATAATTCCTGGTTATGTGGGAACGCGGCCTTCCCCTTGCACACCAGCTCCTCAGCTTCCACCACCTGGGGATTTGCACCACCTGGATGGGGAAAAATGGGGCAAATTCCTCAGCTTCCATCACCTGGAATGGGGAAAATGGGAATAATTCTGGGGAAAATGGGAATAATTCCTGGTATGTGGGAACGTGGCGTTCCCCTTGCACACCAGCTCCTCAGCTTCCACCACCTGGGGATTTGCACCACCTGGATGGGGAAAAATGGGAAAAATGGGGCAAATTCCTCAGCTTCCACACCTGTAACGTGGAAAACGGGGAAAACAGAGGCTCCACCTCCCCGTGCAGGCAAGAACTGGGATCTGAGCGCGGCGCTGAGCGACTTCGAGCAGCTGCGCCAGGTGCACGCCGGGAACCTCCCGCACTCCTTCAACGAGGGCCGGGGCTCCCGGCCCCCCGAGAGGGAGCTGGCACGGCCAGGGAGGCCCCCCCTGCAGCGCCAGGATGACCTCGTGCAAGGTCAGTGTCCTGGAGGGGGCAGTGCCCTGTGAGAGCGCAGAATCACAGGATGGTGAGGGTGGGAGGCACCTCTGAGGTCACTGAGTCCAACCTGTGCCCCAAAACCTCGACCAGGCTGTGGCACCGTGTCCAGTGTTTGTTTAAACACATCCAGAGATGGGGATTCTGCACCTCCCTGGGAAGAGCATCCCAGTGCTTTGTTGTTCTTTCAGTAGAAATTTTTTTCCTAATTTTCCAACCTGTCCCTTCCCTGAGGCAGCTTGGGACTGTGTCCTCTGCCTCTGTCAGGGACTGACCCCACCTGTCTGCACCTCCCTTCAGGAAGGTGCAGAGGGCAATAAGGGCACCTCTAAACCCCTCCAGCCTAAACAACCCCAGCTCCTTCAAATGTTCCTCACAGGGTTTGTGTTCCAAGCATTCTGATTTTGCACAAACAAAGGCACAGCAAAGGATGAGAATTCTTTTTCCTTTCTCTGAGGTTCAGAATCACAGAATGATGAGGTTGGGAGAGACCTCTGAGATCACTGGGTCCAACCTATGCCCTAAAACCTCAACTATAGCACCCAGTGCCATGTCCAGTGTTTATTTAAACACATCCTGAGATGGTGATTCTACACCTCCCTGGGAAGAGCATTCCAGTGCTTTATTATTCTTTCAGTAAAAAAAAAATTTCCTAATATCCAACTGGGAAGACAATTCCAGTACTTTATTATTCTTTGGGTGAAATTTTTTTTCCTAATATCCAACCTGTATTTTCCCTGATGTAGCTTGAGACTGTGTGCTTAGAGGCGACCTTATTGCTCTCTACAACCTCCCTAAGGTCACCTCAGAGCCTCCTCTTCTCCATGCTCCTGGTAAAACACCTCCCAAAAGTGGCAATTTTCTAGAAAAAGAAGTGAACAAAGCAACGAATGGCTCTGAGGTGAATTCCTCCAGGCCTATGAGATCCCTTTTCACCTAATCAAGGAGAGAAACTTGTGGGTTCCTTTCCTTTCTAAGGGGACAAAGGATGGTTTTGTCACAGCACTCCCGCCCCACTTTGCCGGTCGTTCCCGCTCCTTTCCCGCAGAGAAGCGCCTGTCCCGGGGCATCTCCCATGCCAGCTCCACCATCGTGTCCCTGGCGCGCTCGCACGTCTCCAGCAACGGCAGCAGCAGCAGCGAGCACCTGCTGGAGATGCCCATCTGCACCTTCCAGCTGCCCGACCTCACCGTCTACTCCGAGGATTTCCGCAGCTTCATCGAGCGGGACCTCATCGAGCAGTCCATGCTGGTGGCCCTGGAGCAGGCTGGTGAGTGCTGGGGACGTGGGACATGGGCAGTGGCACCCACAGGAGCACCCTGGGGTGCTGGCGTCTGCTGGGCACCGCCCTGTGGTGTTCTCTGGGTCCCCCGTGGCAGGAGGGAATGATGAATCTGACTCCGTGTTCTTAGAAGGGTAAATTGTTATTGTATTGTATTATATTATATTATATTATATTATATTATATTATATTATATTATATTATATTAATCATATCGTATCATGTCATATAATATCAGATTATATTATATAATATCATATATTATATTACATTGCATTATATTATATCATGTCACATCATATTACATCATATTACATCATATTACATCATATTACATCATATTACATCATATTACATCATATTACATCATATTACATTATATTATATTATATTATATTATATTATATTATATTATATTATATTATATTATATATTGTATTCATATTTATTATATTTATTATATTTGTCATATTATATTGTCATATAATATCATATCATATCATATATTATATTATATTACATTGCATCATATTATATTACATCATGTCATATTATATTATATTATTACATTACATTATATTATATTATTACATTACATTACATTATTTTACATTATATTACATTACATCATATAATATAATATATCATATTATGTTATATATTATTATGTAATATAATATAATATGATATAATGTAATATGATATAATGTAATATAATATAATATAATATAATATAATATAATATAATATAATATAATATAATATAATATAATATAATATATATCATGTTACATTTTACATTATGTTATATTATATTATGCTATATTACATTACATTACATTACATTATATTATTATATTATGCTATGTTAAAACTATCCTAAAGACTAGAGAAAGGATACTGACAGAAGGCTTAACAAGACAATGATGATGATGATGATGATGAAATAATAATGATGCTGAAAACTCCTGACTCTCTCCAGAGTCTCACCCAGCTGGGCTGTGATTGGTCTTTAAGTCCAAACAATTCACCTGCTGGATAAACAATCTCCAGCCACATTCCAAAGCAGCAAAACACAGGAGAGGCAAATGAGATGATGTTGTTTTCCTTTTGCTCTGAGGCTTCTCAGGAGGAGAAATCCTGGGCAAGGGGATTTTTCAGACAATGTGACAGTGACCCTGGGATATCCCATGGATGCACATCCAGCAGGGAATTATTCCATCATTTTTATGACCTGGTGCAAGGGTTGAGTAGGAGCTGCTTCCCTTCACCCACGGGAACTGAGTGCACACAAGCCAGGGCTGTTGTCCCTGTGCTGAGAGGGAGAACAGCCCAAAACTGGCATTGTCTCACCCCGAGCTGCCTCCTGTCAGTCCTGGGGGGACACAGGGAAAAGGGAATTCCTGATAAATTCTGGAGGTCAGTGCTGCTGCTCCAGCAGTGCCTGCTGGGGAGGAACCCCCTGGTTTGGTTCCAGGTTCCTGGAGAGCTCCAGGAGTCTGGGAATGAGAGAATGAGGGAATGAGGGGACATCCAGGGATTTGGGAATGAGGGAATGAGGGGACATCCAGGGATTTGTAAATCAGGGAATGAGGGGACATCCAGGAATTTGTAAATGAGGGAATGAGGGGACATTCAGGGGTCTGTAAATGAGGGAATGAGGGGACATTCAGGAATTTGTGAATGAGGGAATGAGGGGACATCCAGGGATGAGGGAATGAGGGGACATCCAGGGAATTGGGAATGAGGGAATGAGGGGACATCCAGGAATTTGTAAATGAAGGAATGAGGGGACATCCAGGGATTTGGGAATGAGGGAATGAGGGGACATCCAGGAATTTGTAAATGAGAGAATGAGGGGACATCCAGGGATTTGGGAATGAGGGAATGAGGGGACATCCAGGAATTTGTAAATGAAGGAATGAGGGGACATCCAGGGGTCTGTAAATGAGGGAATGAGGGGACATCCAGGGATTTGGGAATGAGGGAATGAGGGGACATCCAGGGGTTTGGGAATGAGGGAATGAGGGGACATTTGTGCTGACAGGGAAAATCCTCACCCCTGGCACCGTGAGGGATCTCAGGGGGGTTTACATTTACATTCCTGCTGTTTCTGTGCTGCTGCACACACCAGAAAACACATCATCCCTAGGGATAACAGACACTCTGAGGGCCCAGCTTCCCCCTCTCCTGCTCAGGAGCTGCTGTAAGAAATATTCTCATGTTTTGGGAATGAGCACTCGATCCCAGCGATCCCGTTACACGGCAATGCCGGGAGCTGACAGCGGAGCTGCTGCTGCCCCTGGTGCAGATCAGCCCCAGATCTTATCCCAGCAGAGCAGGGCTTGGCTCCCTCTGTCCCAGCACAAAGCAAATCTGGGGCTGGGGGTTGCTGGGTGCCTCAGCTGTGGGCTGGAGGCACCTCCAGGTGTGTTGAGATGCTGTTAATGGGAAGGAGTTTAGAAATTCAGAGTTTTAGAAAATGTCTCTGGAGGTTTGAGTGTCTGGGAGCTGTTAGAAGTGAATGTTTTGTCTGTTACAAAGGGCTGTGGTGCAGCTGTGAAATATTCCAAGCAGGGTTTAGAGCATGGTGCTGTGATCTGCAGGGACTCCCATTATTAATTTAGCACACACCATCCTTAGGGGATTAAGGAAACACATTTTACAGCTCAATAAATGTTCAGATCCTCTTCCCCACGTCTTCAGAGCTCCTGTTACACCATTGGGGCAGAGTGAGCACTTTCAAAGTGGCTGAAAACTTCAATGAGATGCTCTGGGAATGCTTTGAATGGGCTTGGAGTGGCATGGAAAGGTCTCTGCCCTCAGTGGAGCCTTGGTTTGACACAAGCCCTGGTGGATCAGCACTCAGGCTTTGCTCTGAGCTGGGAATTTGCACACTGGGTTTGTTTGAGTCACACAGGGAGGAGCAGTCCATGGTACCTGAGGGTATTGGGGCATAAAAATCGTGAAGAACTGAAAGATCCTGATCCCTTGGAGCCATCCCTGGGCCACTCCCCGTGCCTGGAAGCCAGAGTGGATTCCTGGTAGCCTTGGGGAAGCCTTTTATGGTTTGGATGAGGCAAATCCTCATTTATGGCCTGGATGAGGCAAATCCTCCCTTCAGGCTGGGTGGAGCCATCAGCTCCTCCCCATTGCTGTGACCTGTTCAGGTGGCTCCTGCTGGGAAATCCACTGGGATTTATCATCCCCTGTGGGGTAGAACAGGCTCATGGTGCTGAGGGATCCAATGGATGCCAATGGACTTTTCCTCTGTGCAGAAGATCTAGAAAGATCCCTCAGGCTCCCAAATCCAGTTGATTTCCCTGCAGAGCTCCCAGGGCTGGCTCTTGAGAGCCACACACACAGAGTGAAATGTGTTGTTTTCAACACTTCTGGGCAGCTCTTGGAGTCTCTGTGCTCGAGATGACTCCAAGGTGTTGAAAAATCTCCTTTTCCCAGCCCCACAATCAAAGAAGGAGTCAGGATCTCTCAGCTGTGGTTCTCAAGGTTGTTTATTTTTATTTTATTTCATTCTTTTTCTGACCTGCTGAGATCTGCCCAGCACACTGAACTGCCTTGGGGTGCTGTTATCTTTTTATACTAAAAACTGCCTGTACTTTATTTACAATAATTTTCCAATCCCTGTCACCTATGTTAGGCAGTCTGTCTCTATCCTAAACCAGTCCAAAAGTGCCACCATCACCCAGAAGATGAGGACAAGGAGAAGAAAGAGGAAGGACAAGGCACACCCAAATCCCTCCATGCTGCCTCCTGAGCCCCCATTCTAAAAACCCCAAAATTCTACTTTTCCACCTTGTGATAAATTCACTCTCATTCTACTCAAACCCTTGTGGCTTGTAAATCTTCACATAAAGTTGGTAATTTTCTCCATGGGTTAAAATCCAAGGCACAGGTGTCTCCTCCTCCATGCCAAGGTCTCTGAGCCCCTGCCAGGGGCTCAAATCATCCAGGGCAGCCAGAGGAATTTCCACCCAAATCCCTCCATGCTGCCTCCTGAACCCCCATTCTAAACACCCCAAAATTCTACATTTTCACCCTGTGATAAATTCACCATCACTCTACTCAAACCCTTGTGGTTTGTAACTCCTCACACACAGTTGGGAATTGTTTTTTCCGTGGTTAAAATCGAAGGCAAAGGCGCCAAGGTCTCTGAGCCCCCTGCCAGGCTCTGGAGCCCTCCAGGGCACTCAGAGGAATCTCCTGGGCTCTGAAATTGTTTTCAACACTTCTGGGCACCCTCTTGGCCTTTCCAGCAGGAGCCAAACCCTGCCAGGAGGGTTGGGTTGGGTTGGGTTGGGCGTGGGGTTCCTTTGGAGCCGATTTCTGTTGCGTAAGCGGAGTCAGTGCAAACACTTGGGCACAGAAATACCTGTGCAAGGTGTGTCCCCTGAGCCCCGGCTGGGACAGGGCTTGCACAACCTCCCAGGCACCAGCCAGACATGCCAAGAGCATTTCTGCTGTTTGGGGATGCTTTAAGCTCTGTTTTCTGCCTTTAGTTGCTCTCCAGCTGCTCTCCCTGGGGTTGCACAAAGCATTCCCAGCAATCCCGTGTCTCTGTGCTGGGATCGTGCTGCAGAAGAAGGAGAGGCTCTGAAAATGAAAGGAAAAGGGCTGGTTTCCTGCAGGAGCAATTTCAATACAACTTGGAGACCTAAACAGCCTCATCCAGCCAAAAACCTGCACAGGATGCAGAAAAAGCCCTGGAACAAACGGCAGCCAAGGAGGGACATTGAGGGCAGGGCAAGACACAGGCACAGACAGGGGGTGCAAAGTCCTGATCCAGCCCAGCTTCCCTCCCTTGGGAAGGGCTGAATCTTCAGCCACACTGGGCATTTCTTCCAACCTTCTCCTTTTAGCTGCTTTTGCCTTGAATCACCACAGTGACCCAAAACTCCCAGTCTGAAGCGCTGTCAGTTTGCATTTGCAGCAGGAAAGCTGCTGGGATCAGCAGAAATCCTGGAATATTCTGCCTAAAAAGCAGTGAGCAGGGAAATGTGGCCATGAGAGACTTGAAACTGGAGGGATTTGGTTCTAAAAAGCCAAAAAAAAGGTTGATTTCCCCTGGAGAAATTGTTTGTGCTGGGTGCTCCTGGTGGCATTTCCAGCCTGATGGGCTGTGGGGAGGGAAATAAAAGATGTGGGGGAAAAGCAGATAGAGGAGAGCTGCTGTGGGTGGAATTCCTGGCTCCTGTTTGTGTGTAATTCTGCCCCAAATCCAGCCCAGTCCTTTCCTGGCATCCTCAGGGAGATTTGCAGCTCCATTCTCTTTTTGTTGCTTTGTCCTGACTCTTCCTCACCCAGTCCTGGGCTGGGTCTGTACCTTCCCACCTGCCCAGATGCTCCTTCCACCCTCTCTAAACTGCTTGTTCAGCTGGTTTTTTTTCCAGAAGGGCTGAAATCCCCTCCTGCAGTGCCCCCAGAGCCCCCCATTCCCATTCCATGGTTTCACACTGTCCCCAATCTCCCCAGGCCGTCTCAACTGGTGGGTGACAGTGGATCCGAGCTGCCAGCGCCTGCTGCCCCTGGCCACCACTGGGGATGGGAACTGCCTGCTCCACGCTGCCTCCCTGGGTAAGATTGGCCTTAATCCACAAGGAAACAGCCACCAAATCCCTGGGGGAGATCCCACACCCTCCTCTGGGGGCAGGAGCCATCCTGGATGCTGCTGCTGTGCAGGAGCAGTGGCTTCAGGGAAGGGGCTGCCAGCAGCTCCTCAAGTCCTTCTCCCACTCTGATGGGCTGTGAGGAGGGAAATAAAGAATGTGGGGGGAAAGCAAAGAGAGGAGAAGTGCTCTGGGTGGAAAATCCTGGCTGTTATTTGTGTGTAATTCTGATTTGGGCGAGTTCCCCTGAAGGAAATGTGGGATAATGGAGCAGCCCCTTCCCTTCAGTGGCTCAGGGTGCCACAGCAGCTCCTCCTGACCTTGCTGTTCCTTCTCCCCCCAGGAATGTGGGGCTTCCATGACAGGGATCTGATGCTCAGGAAGTCCCTGCACACCCTGATGGACAAGGGAGCGGAGCGGGAGGCGCTGAGGCGCCGGTGGCGCTGGCAGCAGACCCAGCAGAACAAGGAGGTGGGAGCTGAGTGCTGGTTTGGGCCCTTTTTGCCATCCTGGGAAAACATCCTGGGCCTTTGGGAGGTGCCAGCCTGGAATTTTGGGCTGTGCTGTGGTGAGGGGTGTCCTGCAGTCAGAGCTGCAGCAAAAGAAAAGGGTCTTGGGATTGATGGGTTGATCCCCTTGAGCCAGGTCCTATAAAATCCTGGAGATTTATAGCACACCAAGATAGCTCAGCTACCTTAGAGGGCATAAAATGAACAGGACAGCTTCTGTGATAGTGTTGGAAACAGAAAAGTTTTATTAAAAAGCAAAATAACAAGTTTTAATAAAAGGCAAAATTCTCTTCTTTGCAGAGAAAAACCAAGCCAGGGGCAAGAGTTCCTTGCTCCTGGTAAAACACCTCACAAAAGGATTCATTCCTTTGTTCTCTTCTTTTTCTAGTAAATTGCTTAGGTGAGATTTTCCTGTTTGTCCCATTAGCAATCCTCAGGTCCCCCAAGTTCCACGAGGTCTCATTTTACCTAAACGAGGAGAGAAACCTCTGGACTCTTTTCCTTTGTAAAGAGACAAAAAGCAGTTTTGTCACTCCATCACCAGAGAGCACATTCCTCCATGGGCCCAGTGACAGGACAGGAGGAATGGATTGAAATGGAGAGGGGAAATCTGGGTGAGCAGTGGGAATGGAGGCCGTGCTGCAGAACGTGTTGATTTCTTTTTTGCACAAACCCATAGAGAAAAGTTGTGCTGTGGGTACAAACCCCCTCTGGAGCAACTGGGAGCGCTTGGCTTGGATGATTTTGGATTCTTTGTGCCGTTTTTTCCAGTCTGGCCTGGTTTACACGGAGGAGGAGTGGCAGAAGGAGTGGAACGAGCTGATCAAGCTGGCATCGAGCGAGCCCCGCGTGCACTACGGCACCAACGGCGGCGGCTGCGGCGGGTACGGGGCAGGGCCGCGGCCAGGGCTGCTACAGGGAGTAAATACTACAGGGAGTAAATCTGCACTCAGGGCTGCTACAGGGAGTGAATACTACAGGGAGTAAATCTGCACCCGGGGTTACTACAGGGAGCAAATCTGCACCCAGGGCTGCTACAGGGAGAAAATACTACAGGGAGTAAATCTGCAGCCAGGGCTGCTACAGGGAGTGAATCTGCACCCGGGGTTACTACAGGGAGTGAATCTGCACCCAGGGGGGAGTGAATCTGCACCCAGGGCTGCTACAGGGAGCAAATCTGCAGCCAGGGCTGCTACAGGGAGTGAATACTACAGGGAGTAAATCTGCACCCAGGGGGGAGTAAATCTGCACCCAGGGCTGCTACAGGGAGCAAATCTGCACCCAGGGCTGCAACAGGGAGTGAATACTACAGGGAGTAAATCTGCAGCCAGGGCTGCTACAGGGAGTGAATACTACAGGGAGTAAATCTGCACCCGGGGTTACTACAGGGAGCAAATCTGCACCCAGGGCTGCTACAGGGAGTGAATACTACAGGGAGTAAATCTGCACCCAGGGCTGCAACAGGGAGTGAATACTACAGGGAGCAAATCTGCACCCAGGGCTGCTACAGGGAGTGAATCTGCACCCAGGGGGGAGTAAATCTGCACCCAGGGCTGCAACAGGGAGTAAATACTACAGGGAGCAAATCTGCACCCAGGGTTGCTACAGGGAGCAAATCTGCACCCAGGGTTACTACAGGGAGTAAATCTGCACCCAGGGTTACTACAGGGAGCAAATCTGCACCCAGGGTTACTACAGGGAGTAAATCTGCACCCAGGGCTGCTACAGGGAGTAAATCTGCACCCAGGGCTGCAACAGGGAGTGAATCTGCACCCAGGGTTACTACAGGGAGTAAATCTGCACCCAGGGCTGCAACAGGGAGCAAATCTGCACCCAGGGCTGCTACAGGGAGCAAATCTGCACCCGGGGTTACTACAGGGAGTAAATCTGCACCCAGGGCTGCTACAGGGAGTGAATTCCCTCAGGGCACAGCTCTGATGGTGCTCCAGGGCAGGGCAGAGGCTCTGGGTTGCTCTGGTTGGGGTTTCAGGGGAAGGACAAAGATCCTGAGGAAGCACAAGGCCCAGGGAGCGTCCCAGGAAAGGATTCTGGGGCTTCTTCTGGTGGGTAGGACAAGGATTGGGCAGGGAATAAATCTTTTCTTTGTGTTTTCCTTGTGTTTCCTTGTGTTCCCTTGTGTTTTCCTTGTGCTTCCTTTTGTTTGTTTCCTTGTGCTCCTTTGTGTTTTCCATGTGTTTCCTTGTGCTCCTTTGTGTTTCCTTGTGTTTCCTTGTGTTTCCTTGTGTTTTCCTTGTGCCTCCTTTGTGTTTCCTTGTGTTTCCTTGTGTTTCCTTGTGTTTTCCTTGTGTTTCCTTGTTTCCTTGTGCTCCTTTGTGTTTCCTTGTGTTTCCTTGTGTTTCTTTGTGCTCCTTTGTGCTTCCTTGTGTTTCCTTGTGCTCCTTTGTGTTTTCCTTGTGTTTCCACGTGTTTCCTTGTGTTTCCTTGTTTCCTTGTGCTCCTTTGTGTTTCCTTGTTTCCTTGTGCTCCTTTGTGCTTCCTTCTGCTTCCTTGTGTTTGTTTTTCCTTGTGCTCCCTTTTGTTCCCTTTTCTTTCCTTGTGCTGCTCGCTCTGAAATGAGAATAACCCAGAGCTGAGCCTTTTTGCCATCTCCCTTGTGTTCAAGGACACTTCCCAGCCACAGCTGTCCTCATCTTTAGCTGAGGGACTCCCAGCCATGCCAGGCAGCAGCTGGGCACTCCCTGGGCACAAACCCTTGCTTTGGAGCAGGACATTTTGGCAACCCACACCCAAACCCTCAGATCAGCGCTGAGCTCGGCCTCTCCTGGCTGTGGAACCTCCTGCTGGTGCTCCAAAGCCAACGTGTGAGCACCCAGGGGATGACATTCAGCTTCTCCTTTGCCCAAGGGTGGAGAGCTCAGAGGAGCCGGTGTATGAGAGCCTGGAGGAGTTCCACGTCTTCGTGCTGGCCCACGTGCTGAAGAGACCCGTGGTGGTGGTGGCAGACACCATGCTCAGGGACTCAGGGGGTGAAGGTGAGACCTCCCTGTCCTCCCAAAGCCTCCCTGAGCTCTCCACCTCTCCTTTCCACCCCTTCTGGGGCCTCTTTGCTGTCAAAGCTGCTCCTGGGGTTGGGAATGGTGCCCCCCATGGAGGGGCCAGGTCAGATTTGGATCCCAACCCAATTTCTACACGAGGGTTTTTTTTCTTTTTTTTTCTTTTTTTTTCTTTTTTTTTTTACCTCTACACACACATCTAGAGATGAGAAATTCCATTCCCTGAGTGGTGGATTTTCCTCCATTCCCTGGGTGTTGGATTTTCCACCATCACCTTCAGTTCCCTGTCATGGAAGGTTAATCCATTTCCATCCTTCTGTGGGCAAAGTTTGTCTTGTGGGGGAGTGAAGAGGAAGGCTTTTTATAGAAAATACCAGTTCATTCTGCATTTGAAATCCTCCTGATGTAAAATAAACATCTATTTTGGGCTGTGGTTTTGTTTCATGTCCCCTGAGATGACAGATAATTGCAGGTGAGCCCTCAGTTGAGCCAAAGGGCTCATTCTGGAGCAGCTGCAGCACAAACAGCTCTGAACTCTTGAACCTGTGATCAGAACTAACCACTCTCAATTGTTGCCAGCATTTGCCCCAATTCCCTTTGGAGGGATCTATCTGCCCCTGGAGGTCCCAGCCAGCAAATGCCACCGCTCCCCTCTGGTTCTGGCTTATGACCAAGCTCATTTTTCTGCCCTGGTCTCCATGGAGCAGAAGGAAAACACAAAAGATCAAGGTGAGTGCTGAGATTCAGGTGAACAAACTGAGGAGGAGGAAGGTTTGGGAGTGCTGGGGAGGAAGAGCTGGCCAGGACCCATCAATGTGCACTGTCAGCCCAAAAACCCAACAGTGTCCTGACCTTGGAGCTCTTCCAGTGCCCAGAGGAGCTCCAGGAGCTGGGGGGAGACTTGGGACAAGGGTGACAAGACAAGGGGGTGGATTCCCACTGGCACAGGGCAGAGTTGGGTGGGATATTGTGCAGAAACTCTTCCCTGGGAGGGTCATGGTGCCCTGACAATTCCACAGTCCCAGACATGGGGATTTGCCATCACAGCTCACAAAGCTCCTGCTGGGTGCTGTGCTCAGGCTTGGCTCCACGTGTGGAATATTTGTGCTCCTGGGCTGTAAAAGTGACATTTGTGTCCCATTTCTGGCAGCTGTGATCCCCCTGACAGACTCTGAGCACAAACTGCTCCCCGTGCACTTCGCCGTGGACCCGGGCAAGGAGTGGCAGTGGGGGAAGGATGACAGTGACAACGTCAGGCTGGCCAGGTTGGTGACCTGCAGGGCTCCATGAGGGTCTGGGTGACCTGCAGGGGGGTCTGGGTGACCTGCAGGGCTCCATGAGGGTCTGGGTGACCTGCAGGGCTCCATGAGGGCCTGGGTGACCTGCAGGGCTCCACCAGGGTCTGGGTGACCTGCAGGGGGGTCTGGGTGACCTGCAGGGCTCCACCAGGGTCTGGGTGACCTGCAGGGCTCCATGAAGGTCTGGGTGATCTGCAGAGCAGAGAGCTCACAGGTGAAGCTCACAGTCCTGACCCCAGCTGGGTTTTCTTGTGCTGGATGAAAGCTGTGCCCAGGAAATGGCACTGTTCAGCTTTTCCTTCATTTTCCTTCATTTTGATGTCATTTGGGTGGGGCTGTGACACCTCATGAGCTTCATTCCCACATCCAAGTGATGATGCTCCAGACCCTGGGGCTCTGGGCTGGGTGTAGCTCAAGGCATCAGCAGCAGTGGAGGATCTCCTGTGATAGTAGCATAAAAAATGTGCAAAAATTTTTCCATTTGCCAGGAAATCCTTGTGTTGTGGGTCCCTGGAGCAGGGAGGTGGTGGCCACCAGCCCATGCCTGGTCTGGGTGAGGCTTTGGGCAGATCTCACCATGGTTTGGTCCCAGCACTTCCTATGGCTGAGGCAGCAACATTTTGATTCCAACACTGAGGAATTTGATTTCTCCCTTTGGGGTTTTTTTTTTTTCATTGAAAGCAAAGCTGCATAATTATCCCTTTTGTGCCCTTGGAAAACACCCATTTAAACACACAACACAGGGAATCATGTGAATATGGGGGGAGATATTTCCAGGTGGGAAATGGCTCTAACTTGTGGCTTTCCCCCCCTCCAATGGCAGCGTGACACTGTCACTGGAAGCCAAACTGCACCTGCTGCACAGCTACATGAATGTCAGATGGATCACGTTGCCTTGTGACATGCAGGTAAAGGGACCAGGGGGATCTTCTTTACCTATGAATTATTCAAGCCCTCCTCTCTACAGGAAAGCTGTTGGAGGGCTTTACCTGGGGGGTTCTGTGCCCACAGGAATTGTGGCTGATTCTGCCAGAGAGCAGGGAAGTGACTCAGTTTTGCATGTGGGCCCCTTTTCCCCAGAGCTTTCCACGTCCATTTTCAGTCTTCACATGACCCAGAGGCCCCTCAGGGATGCCCCATGCTCCAAACAAATGGGAGACTGGGACAAGTCTCAACCTCCTCTTCCCTGGATTTGCACCTGAAATTTCCCTGGATTTGCACCTGAAATTCCCCTGGATTTGCACCTGAAATTCCCCTGGATTTGCAAGTGGAGGTGTCACAGAATCACAGAATAGAATCATAAGATCCTGGACTATCTCAGGTTGAAAAGGTGCCACGGGGATGTTTAGGGATGTGCAGGATGCGCTGGGGACGCCTTTCTCCGTGTCCCCTCCGTGTTCCAAGCCACACCACCTCCTTTGCTTCACCTTCCACCTGGAAATCTTCACCTGAGGGGTTTCTAGACTCTGATATTTGTCTTTTCTCCCTCCCCAGGCGCCCCTGGCTCAGCCAGAATCCCCCACGGCCTCGGCGGGCGACGACGCTCGCTCGGCGGCGGAGTCGGGCGAGTCGGACAAGGAGTCGGTGTGCAGCAGCTCTGCCAGCAACGGGGGCACCAGGGCAGCCAAGGACAGGGAGAAACCAAAGAAAGAGAGGGAAAAGGAGAAGGAAAAGGATAAAAAACGAGCAGACTCGGTAGCCAACAAGCTGGGAAGCTTCGGGAAGACTCTGGGCAGCAAACTAAAAAAGAACATGGGGGGCCTGATGCACAGCAAGGGCGTGAAGGGCGGCGTGAGCAACGGGCAGGGAGACACCCTGGAGAAGAAGAAGAAAGGATCCCTGAAGGCACGGAAGGACAGCAAAGAGGAATGTTCCCCTGCAGATTCGGCTCCTGCAGAGAAGCCTTGTGCAGGTAAAGCAGCCCTGGAGAAGCCCTCGGATCCCTCCAAGTACAGCAGCGACGTTCGGCTGAGCCTGAGCATCCTGCGCGCCGCCATGCAGGGCGAGCGCAAGTTCATCTTCGCCAGCCACCTCAAAACCAGCAGCCGGCACCAGTTCCAGGAGGAGATGATCCAGAGGTACCTCCTGGACGCTGAGGAGCGGTTCCTGGCGGAGCAGAGGCAGAAGGAGGCAGAGAAGAAGGCGCTGGGCAGCGCTGCCCCGGCCAAGAGGCCGGAGGGGGAGGTGGGTGCCCAGCGGAGCGAGGAGGCGATGCCCAGCCCCGCGTTCTGCCAGCCGCCCCCCAGCTACGCCCCCCAGCCCCTGGAGCCGGCCCTGGCTGCTAAAATCGCTGCTTTTCCGGCTGGCTATTCCGGCGTTTTCACCTTCCCCAGGCCCTCTATGGGCAGCGCCGAGGGGCTGCACCCACCCGCGTGTGCCGAGGGCCGGCGGCAGCTGGCGGGGGGGCCCTGTGGGAGCCTCCCCCCCTATGCCACCCTGCCCCGGCACCACCAGGGCCGGCTCGGCCCCTGCCCGCCCGGCCCTGCCCACCTGGGCCGGTTCTCCCCCACGGACATGGAGATCCAGGCTCCCTTCCCCTCCGAGTGCGAGGGCTCCGGCTGCCTCCTCCCCCCGCACAGCAACGGCTGCCGGGAGCTCCAGGAGCAGGACAAGGGAGGAACAGTGGATAAAGTGAGAAGCCAAGGCCTCTACAACATCCAGCAGACCAAGTGCAAACAGCCCAACTGCAGCTTTTACGGACACCCAGAGACTGGGAATTTCTGTTCCTGCTGTTACAAGGAGGAGCTGCGGCGCAGGGAGAGGGAGGCGCTGGTGCACAGGTTCTGAGGCTCCCCCTGTGCAGATCCGGACCCCGGGCACGTGGGGAATGCAATAACAGAGATCCCTTTCGGTTTTTACACCCACCACGCTCCTCTCCCACTCTGCAGGAGGTGGAGCGGGCCTTGGGCCTGCTGGGATGGGCTGGGAGCGTGGCAGGGGCTGGTGGGAGTGATGGGGTGCAGGAGGGAGAGAGGGGGGAAGCAGCCCCTGCCCTCCTGGAGCCCCTGCAGGGAGGAGGAAGAGGAGGAGGAGGAGGAGGAAGATTCCCAGGGGGGCTGCTCGGGTCGGAGCACAGGGTGAGGGGGGAGAATTCCTCAAAAACTCAATAAACCAGACCAAAGCTTTGGGAGTGGGCAGGGGGGAGCAGCTCCCACCAGGTCCTTCCCACTTCCTGACCACCTGGGACGGAGCAAAAATGCCCCATTTTGAGAGTCACAAAACCTTTTAATGGAGTTTTTTAACACTGGTTTTATTCTGTATTTCTTCTTGCTGGTACTGAGCGACAGACACCGTGTTGGAGTTGGACTTTGATGAGGTGAGGGTGGGCTGGACACCCCCAGCCAGTCCTGGATGACTCCGAGCACCAGGACAGGCTCAGGGCTCTGTCCCCTCCTCTCCTCCCCGTGAGCTGAACTCTGGTTTTAAAATGTTGTTTTTAAACTCTTTCTGAGGCAGGGGGGACTCCCAGAGCTCAAGGGATTGGAGGTTTCTCTTCCCCAGCCCACAGGAGATCCTGGCTCAGCATCTCCTGCCAGGAATTCCCAGTGAGCCTGGGGCAAATCCCCCAGGAAAAGCCACTGGAAAGGGGTCCCAGAGCACCCCCAGCCCCATGTAACTCCTACTTGAGCACAGCTACTCTGTACTACCTCTGATCCTGATTAACTCGGCTCCGTTGTGCTGAGCCACCAACTGACCTTTAGGCTGCGGAATTAATCCATATTTTTTGATAACAGGGCTAAAAAAGCAGAACAAGAAGGTGAAATCCTCCCGTGTTGTTCCTGACCCCATCCCGGCCCCCTGGCTCCCAGGGTGGGATTCACTTTAGCACTGCGATGTTTGCACAGAATTCCTTGGGGTTTTTTTGGTAACTGCAGCTCCCAAACCGGGCCTGATCCTGCACGGAGTGAGGTGCAGCATTTCCTAGCACATGGAAATAAACCAGGACTTGTATCCTTCAGCCAGAGCTTTACAACATTCCCTCCTTTCTATTTTTGGGTTGATTTTCCAGAAGGAATCAAACTATGCAACCCCTTCCTGCCCATGGCCATTGCCAGGAGAAGGGATGAGGCAGAGGAGCTGCAAGTGAGCTCGGGGGATCACCCCACGCCTTACACTTGGCCCTAAAAATGTTCATTTAGACCTAAAACCCCCTGAGTTAAGGCCTTTCCTACACCTAAATGCCCCCAAACAAGGCTTTTCCTGGTGGGATCCCAACACTTGGAGTCCAGCCAGCAATGTTCCTTTGTCTGCAGATTTTCAAATCCAAATTTCAGACACCCCAGGGATGGTTTGATTCCTGTGTTGTTTTCCCTGGTTTCATAAAATCCCCGAGCGTGGCTGAAGCTGTGGGAAGGGGAGGGTGTGACACCCACTCCAGCTGGCTCCTCTTACCTGGGAACAAATTCCACGTTTTTCCCTCAAACTGCAGGAATTCCAATGGACTTCAACCCCAGGCAGGGCCATGCAGTGCTGGTTAAACAGCACAAGCTCTGCCCCATTTGGTTCACCCCAAATTTGAAGCTGAGATGGTTAAAACCCGACCCAAACCCTTCACTATTTACGGGCTCTTGGTTCAAATTCCACTTTCTGATGTTTATTTTTCCCCAAATCGGAGCAGCAGCTTTGTTTTGGTGTTGGGAATATCCCCTGGAGCAGGGATGCCCCAGGGCACGGGAGGGCAGGGGGAGGCGATGCTTCAGCACTCAGGTTTTGGGGGAATTTCTCTCCTTTTTGGGTAGCTCCATCCCAGTGCAGGCTGGATTTGGGTGAGGATAGGAAACCCCCTGGGAGGGGAGAGGGAGAAGGCAAAAAAATCTGTAGGAAAAGCAGCAGTGCTGGAGGGAAAACTCCAAAACTGGAGGAGAAGCACCAAACCTGCCCCAGGAGGGATTTTTCCACAGGGAGGCTGTGGTGTGACCCCAAGGTCAAACTAAGTGCACTTACTGGTGTGGTTGGAATTCAAATTGATCCTGGTGGAGGAAAACTTTGTCTTTCAGCGTGTGTAAAACCCGTTCATGAGATTTGATTTGGTTTTATTAAATGAGATTCACCCTCGCCATCCCCGAGGAGGCCGGGGCAGCTTTGGGTCTCACTAACGCGACACCGAGTGACCTGAATTAATTCTGCAGTGGTTTATTCACAAAAAAAAACAACTTCTTCTTTTTTTTTTTTTTTAATTAATTCCAGATTAATTGGTGATATTTGGCCTCCTGGTGAACAGGGCCAGAGCGTTGCACTTGGGCTGTACCTGTGGCCTCGTTGTGGCACCACAGACTCATTGACAATAAAAACCTTCAGCTGATGCACCTGAGGCTCCTTCATCCCCAATTCCCTCCTGCGGCTGCTCCTCATCCCCTTCTCCATCCAATTATTTGGGGATTTTGGGGGTTATTATTTAGATTATTTATTGTGTGATTCCATTTTGGTACTAATTCTTGGCTTTCATCTAAAAAAGAACACCCTCAAACACCCCTCCCTCCCTGTTTCTGTCTATCCTTGCTGCTCTTTTCCCCAGCTGCATCCCAAGGCTCCCTTTGGTACCCCTGAGGCTCAGGACAAAATTAGGGATAAAACCCAGCATGAGCCATATGGATGCTGAAGCTTTACATGGAAAAGAGGTTTGGGGGTGGTTGGGGATGGATGGTGGAAGGTGGGACCCCAGGAGCCGTTTCCCATGGGATTCCTGGCACTGGGATTTTCTCTCCCAGCTCCCTGTTTTTCCTTCCTCCGGGCATTGTGGGCGGACGCTCCGTGCCCGGCTCCACCTCTGATGATTTTCCTCCAGGATCTTCCCTCCTGCCATGGCCCCGACTGACCCCGTCCGGGCTCAAAGCCTCCAGGAAATTCCTCTCATCTGCCAGGTGCCAGAGCCAAAAGCTTTTCCCAGCCCCTGGGAACCTCTGCCAGGTGCTCCTGCTGCAGGGGGAAACTGGGGCACACGAGCTGCAGCCTCCAAAGCCGGGACTGCCCCGAAAATCTGAGGGAAAATACACCAGGAATCAGAGCTGGAACTGCAGTTCCATGGAGCTTTCCTGGGTTGTGTCAGGATTTATTTGGCTGCCTCGGGCTTTGGGGTGCCCGGAGGTGTCGTGGCCCCGAGGGGTGGCACAGGTGGCACCATCCACCTGCTGCCCGCTGTGGGGTGCGGGGCTCGGCGCGCCAGGGGCCGGCCTGGCCTGGCCGGGCTGGGAGGAGAAGGCTCCGTGCTTCTGCCGTGAGTCACCGGGCGGCTTCTCCCGCCGTGTGCCCGGGAGGGGCCCCGCGCCCCCTCCCGCACCGCTGCTCACGGCGTTTGGGGCTTCCCCCGCACTGGGCAGCGCTTGCGGGACCCCAGAACCCGCAAGAAGCCCAGAACCGCCCGTTCCTGGCGGGGTGGCCGGGTGGGTACCCCCGCCCCAACGCTGAACCTCTGGGGTGCCTCAGGCCGCCCCCCGTCCCCGTCCGTCTGCGGAGCTCCCGGGCTCCCCCCTTCCCCACCGGCGGTACCGGACGGCGCGGGGCCGAATGCCGGGACCCGCGGGCTCGGGATGAGCGGAATGCCGGGCCCCGAGGGGCGGGATGCCGGGGCACGGATGCCAGGGGAGGGCGGGATGCCGGAGTGGAGGGCGGGATGCCGGAGCCGGGCCGGGCGCTCGGGGCTCTTTCCCGGGCCGCTCCGGCCCCGGCGCTCCGGGCCCGCCCGGCCAAAGTCCCTGCGCCATGAGCGGGGCCCCGGGCGGCCGCCGCCCGACCTTCCCCGGGCTCCCAGGTAGGGCCGGGGCCGGGGCCGGGGGTTTTGGGGAGGCTCGGGGCGCTCGGAGCCCCGCACCCAGTGTCGGTCCCCGCAGGGGAGCGGGTGCTCGAGGAGGCGGCGGGCGCCCGGCGGCGCCGCGGGAACGGCGGCGGCTCTGTCCCGGGGACGCTGCTCTGCACCAACCGGCGCCTCGCCTTCCTGCCCGGCCAGGTGCGACGGGAACACCGGGAACACCGGGAACACCGGGAACACCGGGAACGGGACCGCGGGGCCCCGCGCCACCTGCGCGGGGGGATCCCTGCCCCGGCGCGACCCCATCCCGGCACATCCCGACCCCATCCCGGCACATCCTGATCCCATCCTGGCACATCCTGATCCCATCCCGGCACATCCTGATCCCATCCCGGCACATCCCGACCCCATCCCAGCACATCCTGATCCCATCCTGATCCCATCCCGATCCCATCCCGGCACATCCCGACCCCATCCCAGCACATCCTGATCCCATCCTGATCCCATCCTGATCGCATCCCGGCACATCCCGACCCCATCCCAGCGCATCCCGATCCCACTCCGACCCCACCCCACCGTACCCCGACCCTCGGCTCAGCCCCACCCCGTCCCTGCTCCCATCCCAGCTCTATCCCAGCCCCTCCTGGCTCCTTGACTGCAGAACCGCCGGGTTCACCCCGGGAACTCCTCGCTGCAGGACATAGCGGGGGACAAGGGACATAGGCGCCGATGTCCCACCCCCAGATCCATCCCCACCGCCCCTCCTGGCGCTGGGGGGGACACTCCGGGGCAGTTCCCAGCCCTCCCCGCTCTCCCGCAGGCTCCTGGCTCCCGTGGCCTCCTCCGCTCCGAGGACGAGGTGGCCCTGCCCTGCATCCACAAGCTGGTGGCAGGTACTGGGGACACCTGGGGACACGCGGGATGAGCTGGGCGGGTCCCGGCGCTCCGCTGGCCCTGACAGCCTCATCCCCCCGACGCCAGCCAGCAGCTTCTCCAAGCCCAAGGTGCTCACGGCCAACTCCACCCTCAAGTTCATCCCGGAGGAGCTCGCCGTGTTCTGCCGGGATTTCCGCCTGCTCCGCTTCTCCTTCCCCGAGAACGGTTTGGCCCCGCAGGCGTTCCGGGTACGCCAGGGAGGGGCAGAAGGGCTGGACCCCCGCTCTGGGGTACCCCGCGGTTCTGGGGAAGCCTGGGGGGCGCCCACCTCACAGCCCAGCCCCGGCTGCCCTCGCAGGTGGCCAATGCCATCGCACAGGCACGGGAGGCGGCTGCGAGGCTGGGGGATGCTGCTGATGGTTGGGCCAGCTCTGGAGAAGCCATCCCAGAGGAGGAGGAGGAGGAGGATGAGGATGAGGATGAAGGCTCGTCCACCACGCTGCTCTTCGAGAGCCTGCGGGACTGGGAGGAGGAGCTGCGGCGTCTCGGCGCTGCGGGCTGGAGGGTGAGCGCCGTCAATGAGCGCTTCGACATGGCCCCGAGGTACAGCCCCCAGCGCTGCCTGAGCCCCCCGAACGGCGCCTGAGATTCTGGGGGACCCCACCCCGTGTCCCACCTTCCCACAGCCTCCCCCAGTACCTCTGGGTGCCCAGTGGGCTGCTGGACCACGACCTCAAGAGAACCTTTGCCCACTTCCAGGAGCGACGGGTGCCTGTGAGTGCCTGGGCGGGCCCTGGCAGGGCGGGGGGCACTGGGGAACGTGGGGGTGTCACCCCCGTTTCTCTTGCAGCGCCTGTGCTGGCACCACCCGGGAGGGGGGGACCTGCTGAGAGCTGCCAGCTTCCACCCAGCCTCAGAGCCGGGCAGCGAGGACGTGAGGTGGGTGCCAGGGGCTCTGGGGTGGTGGCTGAGGGTTTGCCCCGGGGCTGGCACCACCTGGGGCTCCCGGGCTGGCCCCACCTGGGGCTCCCTGTGCCCCCCCACCTGGGGCTCCCTGTGCCCCCCAGGTGCCTGGAGGAGCTGCTGCTGGGGGGCCGTGGGCCCTGTGTGTTGGCTGACACGGCTGAGCTGCCCACTCTGGCTGACATCCAGCTCGCCCACCTGAGGCTGAGGGCGCTCTGCCTGCCAGGTAAGGGGCACCAGGGGGACATTGGGGACCCCCTAACCCCCCTGGGGGGGCTGGGATTTCCCCCCTCTGAAACCCCATCCCGTGGGATGCAGGTGCAGTGGCAGAGGAGAAGTGGCTCTCGGCCCTGGAGGGGACACGCTGGCTGGACCATGTGCGGTGAGCAGGGGACTTTGGGGTGCAGGGAGGTATTTTGGGATGTAGGGAGGTATTTTAGGGAAAATTCACCCTAAATCCCATGGTGGAATGTCCCCCCTGGCACCATGGGGTGCTGGGGGCATTGTGGTGGGTGCAAGATCCACCCAAATGTGTGACTGTGACATTTTGGGGGTGCCCTGAACCCCTGTTTTTGCCCCCCAGCTCTTGCCTGAGAAAAGCAGCGGAGGTGGCGTCGCTGCTGGTGGGGAAGCGCTGCTCCGTGATCCTGCAAGGTGGGGGCTGGAAAAAGATGGGAGGGGGCTGCAAAGGGACCCCCCCCCTCACTGCTCTGTCCCCTCAGAACCCTCAGACCGGGACCTGAACTGCCTCCTGGCCTCTCTGGTGCAGCTCCTGGGGGACCCCCACGCCCGCTCCCTGCCCGGCTTCCAGAGCCTGGTGCAGAGGGAGTGGGTGGCAGCCGGGCACCCCTTCCCACGGCGCCTGGGGCTGCTGTGCCAGGACAGCCCCCGGGAGGAGGTGAGACCCCGGCTCCTGTCCCATCCCCAACCCTGAGACCCCGGCTCCTGTCCCATCAGAACCCTGAGACCCCCACTCCTGTCCCATCCCCAACCCTGAGACCCCCGCTCCTGTCCCACAGACCCCAACCCTGGCAGGAGGTGACCCCACCCCATCCCCTATGTCCCCCCCAGGCCCCCGTGTTCCTGCTCTTCCTGGACTGCACGTGGCAGCTCCTGTGGCAATTCCCGGCGGATTTTGGCTTCACCGAGGCTTTTCTGCTGGCGCTCCACGACAGCAGCTTCAGCCCCTACTTCAGCACTTTCCGCTTCAGCTGCCAGCGCCAGCGGGGCCGCAGCAGCCTGGTGAGGGCAGGGCAGCAGTGCTGCACCCCCAGAGCTCCCATTTCACCCCCTTTTTCCTCTCAATTTCAGTTTCTCCATCCCCATTCCAAACTGGGGACAGGCACCCCCAAACCCTCCCATTTCACCCTTTCTTCTCCTCGCTCTCAGCTCCCATTTCACCCCTTCTTCTCCTCCTCACTCTCAGTTTCTCCATCCCCATTCCAAACTGGGCACGGGCACCCCCAGATCTCTCATTTTACTCCTTCTTCTCCTCACTCTGTTTCTCCATCCCCACTCCAAACTGAGCACCCCCAAACCCTCCCATTTCACCCCCTCTCCTTGCTCTGTCTCAGTTTCTCTATCCCCATTCCAAACTGGGGATATCCCCATTCCAAAGTAGGGATGGGCACCCCCAGATCTCCCATTTCACCCCTTCTTCTCCTCACTCTGTTTCTCCATCCCCATTCCTGGCACTGGGCACCGCCAAACCCTCTCATTTCACCCCTTCTTCTCTTCACTCTCAGCTTCTCCATCCCCATTCCAAACTGGGCACCCCCAGATCTCCCATTTCACCCCTTCTTTTCCCGCTCCGTGCCTCAGTTTCCCCATCCCAAACCTGGAACTGATTTCCCCACCCTTGCCCTGCAGCCCCGGCTCCCCAGCCAGACCTACCGGCCCATGGGGGGCTGGCAGGACCCCGGGGGGCACAGGGGAGACCCCCGGCCCTGCAGCTTCCCCCCGGTGTGGGCCTGGGGCCGGCGCTACACCCGGCAGCAGCGGGAGCAGTTCCAGAACCCTGTGGGACCCCCGGGCCCTGCTGGGCCCCTGACCCCGAGCACGGTGAGTGGGGCTGCCCTGGGGGGGCTGCACCCTCCCATTTTCCCTCATTCCCTATTATTTCCCCCCATTTCCCAATTCTTTCAGCCCCTTTTTATTCCTATTTTTTCACCCCATTTTTCCCTCCCTGTTTTCCCTTCAAGGGAAAATCCCAAAATGGGATTTTTTTTTTTCCCCTTTTTTGTTTTCCCCTATTTTTTCCTAATCCCAGTTTTGCTTCTTCCCCAGCCCGCAGAGCCCTGCCCGTGGGGGGAGCCCAGGCTGGTGCTGACTCTGGCCAAGGGCTCCTTGTGCCCCCACCCCCTGCCCTGGTGGAGCCGCCCCCCACTCCGGGGGTCCCCCTCAGGCAGCCAGGGGACACTGGGGGGGCTCTTGGGGACGTGCCAGCCCCCCCCGGGGCTGCTGCTGCCCTGCACTGCCGGGCCCTGCGTGCGGCTCTGGCACCGCTGCTACCTCAGGGGGCTGCCCCAGGAACAGGTACGGGGAAACTGAGGCACGGGGGGGGGTTGGGGGTCCTGGTTTGGGGGGTCCCAGCCCTGTCCTGATGTTTGGGCTGGGGGTGAGGATGGATTTGTGTCCGTCCAGCGAATGTCTGTGTGTCCATCAGGGGATGGATGGATGGATGGATGGATGGATGGATGGATGGATGGATGGATGGATGGATGGATGGATGGATGGATGGATGGATGGATGGACGGACCCCATGTCTATCCATGGATGGATGGATGGATGGATGAGGGACAGACAGACCCCATGTCCATCCATCCTACCCTGTCCATGTCCCTGTCCTGCACTGGACATTCTGGTCCCCATGTTCCCATCGCTGTGTCCCTCTCCACCCTATCCCATTCTTGTCCCGGTGTTCCCATCCCTGTCCCGTGTCCTGTGTCCCCACCCCGTGCTGGACGTGCTCTCCCTGCAGCGAGGGCGCTTGGCCCCATCCCTGGCCGGGCTGGCTGAGGAGCTGCAGCTGCTCCAGGAGCGACTCCGTGCCTGGAACCTGCGGAGACCCCACTGAGACCCCGAGGACACCTGAGCCCACCCCAGGATCGCTCGGGCCTTGGGGGCTTTGAACACCCCGGTGCCTCCGGCTGCTGCCCACAGCCGCCCCCGGCTACCTCTGGGTGCTTGGTACTGCCGGGAAGGGCGGAGCGGCGGCTCCCGAGGTGTCCCCGATGCCGGACGGACGCTGCGGGGTCTCGGTTTTCCATTAAATTTGTGATGCCTCCATGAGGCTCCAGGAACTCAGGGATGGGGACTGGAATGGGGACGGGATGGTGACACTGCGGGAGCCCAGATCTGGGCCCTCCGGCATTGAGGATCCTCCTGGCCGCGAGGGCTGTGTCGCGCCAGAAGGGCCATGTCGCGAGAGAAGGTCCAAGTCGCGACAGAAGGAAGGACAGCCGCCCTCGCCCCCACTCAAGATGGCGGCCGCGCCTTCCCCTCACGACAGCACTTCCGCTCTCGTCCCGCTGACGCCGTGCTTGCGCGCTGACGTCACGCGCGTGCGTGCGTGCGTGCGGCGCCGCGCGCGCGGAGCGGGACAAGATGGCGGCGGGGCCGATCTCGGAAAGGAACCAGGGTGGGAGCGGCGGGACGGGCCCGGTGGCACCGGCGGCACGACGGGACTGGGGGAGCGCTGGGGGCACTCAGGGGGACACCGCGGGGGCGCTGGGGAGGCCTTGGGCGCGCCAGGGGCGCGCGGGGTGCGTGGGGACCGCGGGGGTGCTGTGGAGACCTTGGGTACATCCTGAGGGGGATGAGGGGTTCTTGGTTATCCTGGAAGGGGCTGGAGAGGATTTTGAGCTCCTTGGGACACGGAGGGAGGCGCTGGGGGAGCTCCGGGGTTGTGGTGGGCTGTGGTTTATTCCCGAAGGAAAAAAAGGGGCTGGGGACCTCGTGGATTAAAGGCTGATGGGGAAGGGGGCTCGGGTTCGTGGGGGTCCCGGTTCTGATCTCGGTTCCTCGCAGATGCCACGGTGTACGTGGGGGGCCTGGACGAGAAGGTCAGCGAGCCCCTGCTCTGGGAGCTGTTCCTGCAGGCAGGGCCGGTGGTCAACACGCACATGCCCAAGGACCGGGTCACGGGCCAGCACCAGGGTGAGGGAGCCCCAAAAGCACCGAGCCAGGGGTGGGATTGGGGTGTGGAACAGTGGGGATCATCCTCTGTCCCTCGAAGAGATGTCCCTCTCTTGGAGCTAGGTTTTATGAGCTCTCCGAATCTGTCACACCTGAGATAGCTCTGGTGCATAAAATTAACGGGATGGGTTTTGAGGTGGTGTTGGAAGCAGAAAAAAGGTTTAAAAAAGGCAAAATAACAAAGCTCTTACAGAGAAAAAGCTGAGCTAAGGGTAAGAGGTTCTTCCTTTTGCTAAACTCCACACAAAGCAATTATTCCCTTTGTTCTCTTCTTTTTTTCGTGAATTACTTAGGGGTCCAGGATTCCTGTCCTGAAATCATTTGGATTTCTGTCCTGAAATCTTCTGGATTTCTGTCCAAGATTTCTGTCCTGAAATCCTTTTGGGGTCCAAGATTTCTGTCCTAAAATCCTTTTGGGGTCCAGGATTCCTGTCCTAAAATCCTTTTGGGATCCAGGATTTCCGTCCAGGGTTTCTCTCCTGAAATCCTTTTGGGGTCTGGGATTTCTGTCCAGGGTTTCTCTCCTGAAATCCTTTTGGGGTCCAGGATTTCTGTCCAGGATTTCTGTCCTGAAATCCTTTTGGGATCCAGGATTCCTGTCCAGGGTTTCTCTCCTGAAATCCTTTTGGGGTCCGGGATTTCTGTCCAGGGTTTCTCCGCTGAAATCCTTTTGGGGTCCCACCCGAAATGCCTCTGAGGTGTGTTGAGCCCTTTTGGGGTCCCACCTGAAATGCCCTTGAGGTGTGTTGAGCCCTTTTGGGGTCCCACCTGAAATGCCCTTGAGGTGTGTTGAGCCCTTTTGGGGTCCCCCAGGCTACGGCTTCGTGGAGTTCCTGAGCGAGGAGGACGCCGACTACGCCATCAAGATCATGAACATGATCAAGCTCTACGGCAAACCCATCCGGGTCAACAAGGCCTCGGCCCACAACAAGAACCTGGACGTGGGCGCCAACATCTTCATCGGCAACCTGGACCCCGAGATCGACGAGAAGCTGCTCTACGACACCTTCAGCGCCTTCGGGGTCATCCTGCAGACCCCCAAGATCATGAGGGACCCCGACACGGGCAACTCCAAGGGTTACGCCTTCATCAACTTCGCCAGCTTCGACGCGTCGGACGCGGCCATCGAGGCCATGAACGGGCAGTACCTGTGCAACCGGCCCATCACCGTGTCCTACGCCTTCAAGAAGGACTCCAAGGGCGAGCGGCACGGCTCGGCGGCCGAGCGGCTGCTGGCGGCGCAGAACCCCCTGTCCCAGGCCGACCGGCCCCACCAGCTCTTCGCCGACGCGCCGCCGCCGCCCACCGTGCCCACGCCCGTGGTGACCGCGCTGGGGCCGGGGGTGACGCCGCCAGGTGGGTGACAGGGCAGGGGGCCAGGGGGTGGCACTGCCCTGGTGCTGAAATTCTGGGTGTGTTTGCAAGGGAGTGATGGGTCTGACTCTGTGTGCTCAGAGGCTCGTTTGTTATTACATGACATTGCACTAAATGTAGTTGGATATGGAATAAGTCAAATGTGTTCTGTAGAGGATATATGTATTTTATATATTCTGTATTCTATATATAGAATATGTAGTTGGATATAGAATTTAGACTGTATAAAAATACTAGACTATATAAAAGTACTATACTATATAAAAATATTATACTATATAAAAATACTACACTATACTAAAAATATTATACTATATTAAAATACTATACTATACTAAAATACTATACTATATAAAAATACTTTACTATACTAAAATATTAGACTATGTAAAAGTACTATACTATATAAAAATACTATACTATATAAAAATACTATACTATATAAAAATACTACACTATACTAAAAATATTATACTATATTAAAATACTATACTATACTAAAATACTATACTATATAAAAATACTTTACTATACTAAAATACTAGACTATATAAAAGTACTATACTATATAAAAATACTATACTATATAAAAATACTATACTATATAAAAATACTACACTATACTAAAAATACTATACGATATTAAAATACTATACTATACTAAAAATGCTACACTATACTAAAAATGCTACACTATACTAAAGAATACAGAAAAGATACTGAATGCTAAAAAGATAATAATGAACAGAATATATAGAATATATAGAATATGTAGTTGGATATAGAATTTAGACTATATAAAAATACTAGACTATACTAAAAATACTATACTATATAAAAATACTATACTATACTAAAAATACTTTACTATACTAAAATACTATACTATATAAAAATACTTTACTATATAAAAATACTTTACTATATAAAAATACTATACTAAAAATACTATACTATACTAAAGAATACAGAAAAGATACTGAATGCTAAAAAGATAATAATGCACAGAATATATAGAATATGTAGTTGAATATAGAATTTAGACTATATAAAAATACTATACTAAAAATACTATACTATATAAAAATACTATACTATATAAAATACTTTACTAAAATACTATACTATATAAAAATACTTTACTATGCTAAAATACTATACTATATAAAAATGCTACACTATACTAAAAATGCTATACTATACTAAAGAATACAGGAAAGATACTGAATACAGAAAAGATACTGAATACAGGAAAGATACTGAATGCTAAGAAGATAATAATGAATAGAATATAGAATATATAGAGTAATAATTCTATGTAGAAAATATAGTTGAAGATAAAGTTTAGAACATATTAAAAATACTGTTCTATACTGAATACAGAAAAGATACTGAATGCTAAGAAGATAATAACAAATAGAATATATAGAGTAATAATTCTATATAGAATATATAGTTGAAGATAGAGTTTAGAATATATTAAAAATACTGTTCTATACTAAATACAGAGAAGATACTGAATACAGAAAAGATACTGAATACAGACAAGATACTGAATGCTAAGAAGATAATAATGAATAGAATATAGAATATATAGAGTAATAATTCTATATAGAGTATATAGTTGAAGATAGACTTTAGAACATATTAATAATACTGTTCTATACTGAATACAGGAAAGATACTGAATGCTAAGAAGATAATAAGGAATAGAATATAGAATATATAGAGTAATAATTCTATATAGAGTATATAGTTGAAGATAGACTTTAGAACATATTAATAATACTGTTCTATACTGAATACAGAAAAGATAGTGAATGCTAAGAAGATAATAACAAATAGAATATAGAATATGTAGAGTAATCATTCTGTATAGAATATATGGTTGGATATAGAGTTTAGAACATACTACAAGGTCCCAGCCAAGCGTTTTCACACGTGTCCCGTGCCATTGATTTCCCTGTTGTGCTGCAGGCCTGCCTCCCCCCGGCTCCTTCCCGCCGCCGGTGCCGCCGCCAGGGGCGCTGCCCCCCGGGATGCCCCCGGCCATGCCCCCCCCGCCGATGCCCCCGGGCGCCGGAGCCCCCGGGCCGCCCTCGGGAGCGGCCCCTGCCGGGGGGCACCCCCCTCACCCTCACCCCTTCCCGCCAGGAGGGATGCACCACCCAGGTAGGGCTGCTGCGAGGGCTGGGCACCCTCCTCCTCCTCCTCCTCCTGGCTGTTTTTTCCCTTCTCCTTTTCCTTTCTGTCTCCTCTCCTTCCTTTCCTCCTCTTTTTCTTTTCCTCCCTTTCCCTTTCCTTTCCTTTCCTTTCCTTTCCTTTCCTTTCCTTTCCTTTCCTTTCCTTTCCTTTCCTTTCCTTTCCTTTCCTTTCCTTTCCTTTCCTTTCCTTTCCTTTCCTTTCCTTTCCTTTCCTTTCCTTTCCTTTCCTTCTCTCTCCTTCTCTCTCCTTTCCTTTTTCCTCTCCTCTCCTCTCCTCTCCTCTCCTCTCCTCTCCTCTCCT